CGAAGCTCTTTTATCTTTTTACCATTTGTGGAGTTGTGCTTGGTTTTTGGAATCACCTTCTTATTTAGATTATCTGTCAATGTGTTTGTGCACTTTTCTTCCTGAACTTTTAGAAATCTTTTTTAAAAACACAGCACTTTTTTTCTGTTCTCTACATTACATTCCTTATTTGTTATGAGTGCTAATAAGAAAAATTATTTTTTCAAGTCGTCAGCATTTTCACTTCATGGTGAACCTGTTTTTACTGATCAGGGTGAGGTCAGAGTAGCAGCTCCTCCTATTTCCTCAACCATTTAAGAGATTATATATCTTTGAAAGTAAAGTCAATTATCTTATCATATATTCCTTTTTGCAGAGCCAGAAATCCGTCAGGCATTCAGATAGCTGAAATACCTTGTTATTGCTTGTAGGGGACTTATATTTTAGGAAGGTATCGTCCACAGCTTCCATCTGACGAAGTGATCCACTGTCTATTCCTGTCACTCTCACTTCCGTTTCTTCCTCCTCCAGCTTTATCCTGATATTTTCAGTCCTTCAGATTCGCAGTGGAATTATCTGTAGAAATGAAGATCTGGATTAATTAGAATTCTTAGTGTTGTAAGTAAAATAAAAACGAATGGCAAAATAACAACAAAAAAACGCATTGGCTCACAAAAGTGAAAGAATTCAAAAAGCTGACTTTAGGCAGAACCCGATCCAGGGCTCAAACAAAATCACCCAGGCCAGGTCTTGCCCCATCTCTTAACTTTTCTCTCCTCCATGTTGACTTCATTCTCAGGCTCCCCATGGTGTTAACATGGCTTCCAGTGTCACTCACCCAATACCTTTTTAGATTTACATCTTATGGGAAATGGCATGTGCCTGTCTCCTAAGATCTCTAGTAAAATCTCCCTGAGTCTCATAGACTAACTAAGTCACCTTTGAGCCAGGTACGGTGGTGGGGGGAATCTGATGCTTTGATTGTCCACCCTGCATCACATGCCTTCCCTGGAGGAAGGGGTGAAGGGGGGAGTGAGGGAGGGAGGGTGTTTCCCAGATGGAAAACTGGGTACTGTTGCCAGGAGAGAGGCAGATTAATTCTAAATGATGACAATAACAGATGTACATTGCAGCAAGGAAGGCAGTTAAATCTGTAGCAGAGAAGGTGAGCAAGTTAGCGAAACATGAAGAAATGGGGACAGTCCACCTAGAGAATGTGGTAGGTGTAAAATAGGACCGTCTAAGAAGCAGAGAGACTCAGGACCCAGATGACCAATGTGAAAAATGAGAATTAAGGTGAATATATTAAAAGCTGTTTTAAAGGGAAGGAATTTGGATCTATGCATGCCTTTACATTTTATGGAGGATGCACAGGAGTTTTTCTAAGACTGAAACCACACGGTTCTCATGAGCACTGTAATGTTTGCACTTGCATTATGAGAAGGGTACACATCTCAACTAAGTGTAATTCCTTAGCTGAAATGAACAGGGTTGTGCTTGTTAAACTTTATGGCCTTTGGGTTTATTCCCTGGAATCAGTCCATAGGGTGCTAATATTTTACCTCTTATCTGTTTGAAAACCTCATAGAAGGCTTCTCAAGGATACAGTGAGTCAGCACTCCTCAGGGACAGATGCCACTGAGTTATAGGAGAAGCAGTCTGGCTTGTGGAACCAAGTAATTAAATGGAAATTTATTCTTCACTAGCCCAGGTGGAGTTTTATCTTACTGTTTTTCGATTTTGGGTGAAAAAAACACAAAATAAACCCAGAAGGAAACTGTATGTGAAAGCCCCCATATTACAATCTGGAAGTGATCAATTTAAAGATGCAAAAGTCAGCAGGTCTGGTATTCAGGATTTTCACGGTCACATTTAACTTGTCTTCATGGTACACCAGTATATCAAAATAAACCCAGAAGGAAACTGTATGTGAAAGCCCCCATATTACAATCTGGAAGTGATCAATTTAAAGATGCAAAAGTCACCAGGTCTGGTATTCAGGATTTTCACGGTCACATTTAACTTGTCTTCATGGTACACCAGTATATTCTAGGTTATTGTCCTTGTATGGGATCACTGCTAAACATGTATTCTTTTAGGTTGTTTTGGCTGCTGGCCTTCAATATTGGAGCAAGTAAATGTCATGTATGAATTTTAATGTGTACCTGCTCTCTTTGGTCTATGGGTAAAATATAATGCAGAGAGCGGGGGTCTTGGGAGATTGGTCTTGGAATGCCCGAGAATTTTAAGCTACTCAGGGCATTACATTTTAATCATGTCTCAGAAGTGGATTAAGATCTCTGAGGACAGTGGGAAAGACGCCAATTTACCTACCACCCTACACCATCTAATTTGTGTTATGTCAGGTCCACTCTGCTTGATCTGAGAAAAGATGGAGCCATCGGGCAGCCCATTTTCATCCTGGGCTGGGCCTAGGGAGAGAGGTAGCAGAGTTAGCCTCTGGGAATATGGCCCAGGTGGGCCCAACACTATCACTTGGCCCAGTGCTCTGTCATTCACAGACATGGAGGCCCATCCAGCCCGTGACAATGAGGCAGGTAACTGTTGTGACATAAAGCTGGTCAGCATGTGGAGAGGCCAAGATGCTCAGCGGCATGGACAGAGGCCAGCACCTGAGAGCCATCCCCATTAGAACCCAAATTCCCCAAGATTCCTTTCTCCTCCTTCCCTTCTTCTCTCATAGAAGAGAATATTCAATGCCTATGTGCCAAGTACTGTTTTGAGCACTTTGTAATATATATCATCTCATCTATTTCTCAAAACATCCTAAAAGTAGATATTAGTAACTCCATTTATATGATTAAGGAACCTGAGGCTTGAGAAGCTGACTTGCTAAGGTCCCATAATCAGTAAGACATCTGGGATCAGAACCTAATTTGTCTGACTCTATAGTCTATGCTTGTTCATTAAATAAAATTTATGTCAAGGCTCTTAAGATTACTCAGGACCTGGCAGGTACAGAGGGGACGAGGGCAAAGGGAAGAGAACGCTCTACAGGAGAGGAAGGCAAGCTTTTCTTGGAGAGGCAGCTCTGACCCCTCTGTATCAGCCTGGCCTCCCACTCTGCCCTGGCTTTCCTGTGATGAGAGGTCTCCAGGCAATCAAGTGTTGAAATGCACAGGGAGGGTGGGCTGCCTCCTTGTGCTTCTTTAGCACTTGGCTGGCACTCCCAATCTTGTTTAACAGCTGACAAGCTGTTAGATGATAAGACAGTAAAGACTTTTCAGTATCTCAATTTGCTTCTCTGCAAAATGAATACCATAGTCTTCTCTTTCTATGTGGACTTTGAAAAATAGCTGTTATCTTTATTCAGTACTTTAAGTGCGTAAGAACATTTCTTCAAAGTGAATGGAAGCAATGTGGCTGTCTCTTGGAAAGGCTTGCTCCCCGCTTTAAAGACTAGTTCATATGGAGACTACCACCCTCTGAAGCTCAGCAGGCCACCAAGTCTCATTTCCAGTGAATGTCATCTAAAAGCCAAAGCAAGCTGACTACAAACTTTTTAACATGTGCCTCTCATCTGCTCAGCAGAAATCCCTGTAACTTGTTAATAGTTCTCTTCTTATTTTTTTGTAGTGAAACCAGTTGAGGCCTTAAATCAGTACCATTCGTTCCATCTTCAGTCATCTGAGAAAACCATTTAGAGTTGTACAAAGTCATCTGCTCCATCTTACACTTCCTGCTGCAGGGCTCGGGCCAGTGCCTGATGGAGCGTACCTGTAACAGGACAGTACAACACGCTGAACAGGTGGTCTTTTCGGGGAGCACATAAACACCAGATCATGGAGAACAAGAACGGACTTTCAAAGAGAGGAGACCAGATACATATCCCGTAAAACACAAATCTCTTTACAGCTGGAGTCAAGTTTCTCCATTTGTGCCATAGCAATTATTTTAGAGAAGCTCATGGCATTTAGGGTGGAAAAGGAGGAAAATGTGTAGGATGTCTCAAAAAGGAACCAGACGCTTGCAGAAAATGAATCCCTGAGCTTTCTGTAAGGCACAGTAGGCTAAGTCATTCAGTCGCACAAAAGCAAGAAAGAAGCATGAGGTGTTCTTTCTCCTCCTGGAAACTCCCCCTTTCAGAATTCATTCATTATATTAAAATGATTCCTTGGAAAGTGCTTGTAGTTGGCCATCCACACTTTATATGACTTTAATCCTCAGACACGATGCTGAGAAGGACAGAACCTGAGGCCCATTAGCGCAAAGCTCATCAAACTCCTAAGACTCCATTTATAGTCTTTGTTCCAGTCTCCGAGGCTGCGCAGGCTCCTGTAAAGGGAGATCAGCAGAGGCTCTGGATCATGATGATTTTGTTTTGGATTAGCCATGCTCTGATCTAACCTGACTCTTAGAATTGTGTTCATGATGTCTTTCATATGACAGAACTTCAATCTCATACCCCAGTCCCCACTACCTGGGCCCCTCTGCTGTGTCTTCCCAGCCCTCAGTACTCACTTGACACAATATCCCATTTCCTCTGAGATTAGGGTCTTGCTTTGGTATCCTGTGTTTTTGGCTGGAAGACTAAAAAATTGTAAAGTAGGCAACAGACCCTGGTTAAAACACATATTTAATGCATTTCCATTGAGAATGGGAAAAATTGAGCTAGTAGATTTTAATGCTGATCACTAGAGGTCTCATAAAGTGAATTTGATGGTAAGATATGGCAAAGTTAATAATGGAAGGTTTACTAGTTATTTTTAAAATAGAACTTACTAAAGCACTCACAGAGAAACAAACAAAAGAGTTTAGTGTTCTTTTTTGTCACTCTCTTTGTCCTCTTTTTGGAGTGTGTGTGTGTACGCTACGCCTGTGTATGTGTGCACAGGTGGAATCACTTAGCCTAAGTCTGCTGAGTTAAGAGAAAGCAATAGTTCTATAAAAATCAGCTCATCTTGGATATTTGAAGGCACCTCCTGTATGGCTTGCATTTGGCGTAATCAGACTCATCTTAAAAGCCTCTGTCTCAATGGTATTCGTGTTTTATTTTTCAGGGGGCAGCACAGGCACTTCCCCAACCACCTCCAGCACTGGGACACCATCTCCTTCGGCTTCGTCTCATCTTTTATCTCCATCCTGTTCTCCTCCAACTTTTCATCTGGCCCCCAACACTTTTAACGTGGGCTGTCGAGAAAGCCAGCTGTGTAATCTAAATCTCTCTGATTATCCACCATGTGCCCGAAGCAACATGGCTGCCTTGCAGAGCTACCCAGGGCTGAGTGACAGTGGCTACAACAGGCTCCAGAGTGGCACCGCTTCAGCCAGCCAGCCCTCCGAAACCTTCATGCCTCAGAGGACTCCATCCCTGATCTCAGGAATACCAACTCCTCCTTCGTTGCCTGGCAACAGCAAGATGGAAGCCTATGGTGGCCAGCTGGGGTCCTTCCCCACTTCTCAGTTTCAGTATGTCATGCAGGCAGGCAATGCCACCTCCAGCTCCTCATCACCACACATGTTTGGGGGCAGCCACATGCAGCAGAGCTCCTACAATGCCTTCTCCCTGCACAACCCCTACAATCTGTATGGATACAATTTCCCCACCTCCCCTAGGCTAGCTGCAAGCCCAGAGAAACTGAGCGCCTCTCAAAGCACTTTACTCTGTTCATCTCCTTCCAACGGGGCCTTTGGAGAGAGGCAGTACCTGCCCACGGGGATGGAGCACGGCATGCACATGATCAGCCCCTCACCCAACAATCAGCAGGCAACCAACACCTGTGATGGCCGGCAGTATGGGGCAGTCCCAGGCTCCTCTTCCCAGATGTCTGTACACATGGTTTAAAGGCCACTCCAAACACCATGGAGCCTACGGCAGTCAAGGGCCCAGAGACTCCGTGGGCTTATCTTCTTCTTGGAAGCCCAATGCCTTTGGAAAACAGAAACTGTGTATTATTTTTCTGGAAGAGGAAAATGCATACCCAAGAACAGCAAGGGACACTTTTAAGCCACTGAAGGATACTGCAGTAGAATCATCCATGATTCAGTGGACAATCTCCTGCCTTCCCAAACCTTAGTTTTATAAAGCATTGTCTACTCCAGAGTGGCCTTAGAAGAGACTGAATAACCATTTTATAATATTGTTAAGGGAAATGCTAGCATGTAGCAGCCATAAAAAGTTACACACACACATACAGACCTACCTGTACACACACACAAACACACATACTCATACACAAGCTCATACACACAAAACATACCTGCACACTGACTTTGAACTGGGCGAACTCTGTGAAGGGAGGCCCACAATGGGTGCTTTCACCAAGAATTTGTCTATGTACAACACTAGATGGACTGGGCCAGCGGTAGCTGCCAGCCTTTCTCGCCCGCAGCTTACCCTGTTCCTGGAATGAAATGTGTATCCTGGAACCCCTCCCTGTCGATGAGGGTGGAAAGACATCAGTACTACAACTGGACGTGGCTTCCTGGAAAAGCTTGCTTTAACTTTGGCTGTCTTCACTCAGTGTGCTATTATTGATGTTCCCAGTGGTGCCTGTGAAAAGAGGGAGTAAGAGCAGCTGAATGGAAGAGAGAGAAAGAGAAAGAACGGAGAGCAGGAGAGAGACGGAGAGCAAGACTGAGTGAGTGTGATCAGTGATGAGAGTTTAATTCACCAAGGAAATTTGTTTTTGGTTTGTTTCCCCCACTACAGGTTATAGAAGGAATCATGGTGTTACTGAGGCATAAACCTCTCTGGACACTGCATGGTCAGGGCACTGGTGAGAGGGACTGGGCAAGGAATGCACCTTTATCCCATAGCTCTGACCACTGTGATCCGGAAGAGAGGTGGACCACATGGGAATGCTGACTCTGCAGCATGCAGCCTGTCAGGGGAAGGGAAATAGAAGGATTGTGAAGAAGGAAGAGTTTTGTAATCCCAGCAGATGATTCCAAGAGCAGAGGAGACACACAGAGCCTGGCCTCTGCATGCCAGATCCAGACACCTGACCTGGATCACCTGCCCACTAGCTCCGGTGGCAGGAGAAATCCTGTCATATTCCAGGCAATTGCAGATGGATCTTCTATACCCTTCCATTTCCCTTAGGATCTCAATTCTTATCTAATAGTTCATTGCATTTTGAAGTTTTGGGTTTTTTCCTTCATCTTTCCTTTTCCCTTCAAGTCCTTTAATGGTAATAAAGCAAGTGAAGCTTGGTGCAAGGTAAAATTTTTAAATGGTGTGGAAATGCAAATAATACCAAGTAAAATAATACAGATATTATTAAGATTTTGGTTTTGAGGTGTTGTAGATAAATGTATTTATGTGCCTAGTGGGGAATCCAATATTATGAATATTAAAAAAGGGGGCAATATAAGGGTATGTAAAATATGTATGAAGAAAAGTTGTATAAAAATTTGCCCTTATGCACGGAACTCTGTTTCTAAGTGCCAAGCACAGAAAGCCGCTAAATAAAATCTTTGCAATTGTTTTCTGAGTGTTTATTCATACAGAAATAACAGCCTGTGCATTTGCATTCTGCTTTGCAAATGAGCATAGCACTTTCATATACACTAACCTAAGTGATCTTTATACAGACCTCCTGAAGTAAATATCGCCATCCTCATTTCATGATTAGCAGCTGAGCACCAGCAAGATTGACTGAAATATCTAGGATCATACAGCCTGTCAGAGAGGGAATAGGACTTGGAACCAGGTCTTCTGACTCTATGTATGCTTGCTTTCATGTTAGCTTCACAAACCTGTGTGAGTCTAACAGTAATTCTCATGGTTGCTATGTGCAGACACTAAACCATGTGTTTTACATGATTATCTCATCCTCCCATGATTCTGTGAGATAAGTATTTTAATCATCATTTTAAAGATCCCAAAACAAGCTGAAAAGATTAAATACTTGACCAAGGCCTTCAGGTAGCCAGTGATGGAGCTGACAGTCTGACCTTAGGGTCTGTGCAATTAGCACTATGTCATTATGCCAGAGCCCCAGCAATCCCACGAACTTGGACAATCAGGAAAGAAGACATATTCTCAGCGGTTGGGGGAAGAGCACCTCTGAGGCTTGATTTTGCTTGGTATGTTTAGCCGTAAATATATACTCTCCCCATTGAATGTATCACTGCAGCATGGAAGGAGTGGTTTTGAGTTGCCACGCAGCAAGTGACAACTTATGACAGACTGATAAAGTGCCGAGGGCTATGCCAGTTACAAACACTTTCACATATTATCTCATTTGAGCGTCTCAATAATCATGAAAAGTAGACAGGCCGGGAAGTATTGTTTTGAAAATGGCGGGGCGGGTAAAATATAAAAGCTGCGACTTGCCCAAACTTATGTGTCTGGGAAGCAGCAGGGCCAGGACTTGAAACCTCATGCTCTTATCCCAACCCCAGGCTGTTTCCCGGCAGACGTTACTCTGCTTGCTCACTGAGCCATGTACCACGGGGGCTCCGGTTGCTGACTGCCACACGCATTTACTAGAAATGGAGCTTGGTTAAGGGGAGCAAAAACTTCAATCTTTGCTTTGGTTTTATAAAGAACTTCAAAGAGTAGCATGCCAGTTAATTACATTAGCCATCAGATTATTGCCAAAATAGCTGGGACAATAACTGAGTACCTCCCTGGATTGTAGGCTCTTTGGATATGGCATAACACAAAACTTAAAAAGACACTCCTGTTTGGAAACCTTGCAATCACCCTTTGGCTTCATAATGGTAGACCAAAACCAACTACATTAATTGGAAATTTGGTCTCTAAGCCTATGACCAGCTTCACTCATTCACTGGTTCAATTCAATAAACATTTATTTCATGCTCTGTGTCAAGCAATGCTCTGGGCACTGAGAACGTAGCAGTGAACAATCAGACAGGTTCTTGCCTTCAAGAAGCTCACAGTCTGGTGGGAGACTGCTATTGAATACACTAGCAAATAAATAACAATTTCAGATTGCAGTAATTACATCAAGGAAATTAAAAATAATAGGATGATAGTGGTGGGGAAGTGAGGATGAAGGTTTATTTAGACAGAGAGGTCTGGAGGGCTGCTCTAAGCAGGGGAAGTCTGAGCTAGTACAAATGCAAACATTATCTTAGAATCTGCTTACTCTAACTCATGCTGAGGGCAGCCATATCCTCTGGAAGATGTGTTCTGTCAGTCTTGCATCAACTGAGGCCAGGCATTTTTGTCCTTACAACAGTGTTGTAGAATCTATGCTTATTTGCTGAAGCCTTCTGGGACTGAGGCTGTTTAGAGATTTCTCAAGTCTAAGTCTTCTACATGGTCCCAGTAAAGTCATGTTTTCATGATTTTCTTAGCAGAAAATGACAGGCATCCCTTTCATCCAACTTTGGTAAAAGGTTAAAATTAATCTAGAGATTTCTCAAGTCTAAGTCTTCTACATGGTCCCAGTAAAGTCATGTTTTCATGAATTTCTTAGCAGAAAATGACAGGCATCCCTTTCATCCAACTTTGGTAAAAGGTTAAAATTAATGATCAAACAATTAATAATAATAATTGAATTAATAATAAACAATTATTAGTCAGCAAAAACATTAAATATGGCTCGACATACTGTACTGTTCTCAGAACTGTTCTGTGTAATATAAGGACATAGAAAATTTCTGTCTGCAAGGAGATTTCAGCCTGGTTGAGGAGTCAAGAGATATGCATATAAAACTGAACAATAAAAGTATTAAATTGGTGGTAAAGACTACACATGCTGTAGAATTTCAGAAGGAAACTAATTTTTATTGGGTGTTTATTACACGTTACACATTATGCAAGGTAATATCCTGTAATCTTGTAACCACCCTACAGGATTTGTATTTCAATCCCTATTTTATAGATGGGGAAACTGAAACTTTTAGAGATTAGTAATGTGCACAGAATCACAGAGCTCGCAAGTAACAAACACAGGGCTCCAACCCAGGCCCTTCTACTACTATATTTTTCCAAAACTATGACTTATAGGGACTATAATAGAAAGATGGGCTCATGGAGAAAGTCGGTCTTGCATAAACTGAGGCAAAAGGAGGGTGTCCCAGTGTGATGATGGGGAGCAGCACAGTAAAGACACACATCCGCCATGTGGGACAATAAGCGATGGCAGTGGGTTGAGGGGGGATGTTCGCTGTCTTATGTCAAGTCTCATGATGTTCTCCTTGCTGCTCCTGGCACCGTGACTCGGGATCCCTTTTCCTGTGTGAGGTGTCCTGGCTGTGTAACTGGCAATTCAGGTTTTCCTCCAGTGTCTCAGTGGGAACCTTCAACTGGAAAGGATCAGCGGGGGCTGGGAGGTGATTGAAGAGGTCAAGCTACATGCTCCCATCACCCCCAGTCCCTCCCATCCCCATCCAGGGCCCCAGGGATAGGCTCGGCTGCCCTACAGGCTGAGTCAGGCTCTGCACAGAGCCCCTTGCTTTCCCTAGCCAGGCAGTGCCCCGTGGGATGGGGAAAGGGGTCCTTGCTGCCTAAAGCTGAGAAAGCATTCATCATGTTTTCCTTCTTAGCTCATTTTACTGCTCATAGCACTCATCTTTTATGGGCCAGCCTACAGGCATTTCCCACTTCAGATGCTTCCTACTCACACTTTCTGCTTTTATTAGACTTTACTGCAGATTCTGCAGAGGCACAGCAAACCAAAAGGGTTTTGGATCGTTTTTAGTATTTTCACCCAGTGAATACAGTGTGGACAAAGGGGGCTGCCAAAGGATTGCCAAGTCAACCCCCAGCAGTTCTCATTCGAGGGGAAGTTTTTGGACCCCATGAAGGGGATTTTTGGTGTTCTCCCCATCTTGCCACAGTACACATCCTTCCTCTACCCATGGACAGGTACCCCCTTAAGCTGTTTCTACATGATGCAAAAACTCCAAATATTAACATAATAATGCTCATTTCTCACTCAACTCACAATCCAACATGAGGTTCCTCTCTATGTGGCTCTTCTCCAACCAGTGATTCAGGAAACCAGTTTCCTTCCATTTCATGGCTCCACTGTCTCCAACACATAGGTTGGTACCTCTCCATTCAGCTGGCAGATGGAGAAAGAATGAAAACATGAACATGGGAGATATTCCTAAGCCATGTCTGGAATTGGTTACATGACTTCCTCCCCGTTCTAGTGGTTAGAAGTCCAATGGCCACACCTAAATGCAAGAAAGTTGGGAAATGCAGTCTAGCTGAGTGCCTAAGGTAAAAAGGAAACAGACTTGTTAAGCATTTGGGAGTCTCTGCCAGCCTCTGAGCCAATAAAGCCTGAGCCAATCTTCATCTGCTTTTTCTATAAACCCTGAAGATAAAGGGTAAGGTTAACTTTCAGTTCCAGCTTCTCAGCTGCTTTGCAAAACAGTCTGGAAGAGGTGACTTTATTCCAGTGAGAGATCAGTTCATCTGTAAGATATATCTTTCAGTAGGAGTTTCTTCCTATTCTAAAACATCTTGAGGATTCATAAAATGTAGAGTGAGTTTTTCACAAGTGGTAATAACTGTAAAACAAGAAACATTTATCAAGTTCTTATTACATGCCAGCTAAGTGCTTTACATAATCATCTTATTTAATTTTCAGGAACAACCTTATGAAATTGATATTATTATTATACCCACATTATAGGTGAAAGAAAAAATGCAGTGAGTTGAAGAATCTTGCCAAAGATCACACTCAGACCATATGACTTAAGTGTCTGCACTATTAATTAATATGTAATAACTAAGTTAGTATGGCAGACTTTTAAAAAATATTTCTTTACTTGGGCAAAATGCTGAGAATTCTATGGACAAGTCAAGTTCCCTGCCTCAGAAAAGCTTATAGTATAACAAGAATTGCCTCTTATTTGGTTTCATCCAGAAAGAGCCCAAGAATAACATGCATATAGAAGTCATCTCGAGAGTGTCAGGATCTCTCTACTCAGCCTATAGTTTTTGCATGTTTTTGGACAACACCTCCTACCCCAAGGCATGAGATGGAAAGCCTTGTCATGTAATGTGATTTGCAATCCCCTAAGATCCAGTCAGTCTGGGAGTCACTTAAACTGGATTTCTGGAATTGGGCTTTGTCTAACACTGCCCAGGCCTTTGACATCAGGATGTTGCTGGTGGTGATCCTCAGAGAGGAAGCCCACAGCTCTACAACAAAGCAACAACCATCTTGGGTCCTCTCACCAATTGGTCTTCTTTTCAGAAGAAAACTATCCCTTCATTCAGAATGGTTCCCAGTAACATGTAGGCAATCTGCCACAGGTTCCATTTCCCATTTCCAGAGTCTCTGGTTTGAGAAGGGTTTTGTGATTTATCAATACAGTCTTTTTCCTAAATGCTGGTTTTGTCTTTTTGCAACACAGGCTTACATACGTAGTCTCATTGAGGCTCTCCAAGTCTCACCCTAAGAAGGGTTCATTGTCCTGAAACATGGCCAGGGAAGGGCTTCCTTAACTGTTCAGAATTAGAGAAGATTGAGGCCCTAGTAAAATAATCAGGGCAAAG